TATTATATATACACACACACACACACACACACACACACACACACACACACACACACACACACACCACACCACCACACGCGCGCGCGCGCGCGCGCACATTTTCGATTTTCTATCTCATCATAGTAGAGTTTAATGGTACACTTAATGCTCGTGTTGTCGTGAGGCAGGATTTTCGGTATTTCCTCTTGCGTCCTGTTTTTCTTTTTTTTTTTTTAACTACGGATCGCTGGACAGGCCGACCTGTGACGATCCGGTCGGCCGAAAGCTTATATATCGTCTATATATGTTAACATGTGTGCCGTCGATCTACGTAGAACGTTTTTTTTAGCATTCTCTTTGATTATCGTTTCTCGTTTCCTCTTTGATTACGCTGTCCATCAACAACGACTGATGGCGCAAATCGATCAGTGGTGCTTCTCGATGCGGTTCGCGTGTTTCACGCGATGATTTCTCGATTTCATTTCTTTCCCTGGTGCGTACCCTCGAAAACTGGATCGCGAGTTATATTAAACATCGCCCCCGTTTCTTGTCTTTTATTTCTTTGTTTCTTTTTCTTCCTTCTTTTTTTATTATTTTTATAATTGTGACTATATGTTTGGTTGCTGTGATCGCCGCTGATCTGTGTGTACCGAAGTCCCGCCACTCACGATTCAGAAGAAGCCGTGGGTTTCCGTATTTTTTTCTCTTTTTTTGTTTAACGAACAACATCGACATTTAACGCAGCAAGTACGGGCCGCTCGGCCCATCTGACTCTCTGTACACCACACATACTCAGTTTTGTATATATATATAAATATATATTGAACGTACGTGTATGTATATACGCAGCGATACACACATGCACGTACGCTACCATCTGAGTTAATATGCATGTATGTATATAATAGTAATATCGCCTCTTTTCCATATATTCAATATATATATATATATATATATATATATATATATATATATATATATATATATATACTTTTTAATCAGTCAAAGTATTATGGAATAATTCATATCTTTCTATGAATTTATCTTTCGATTTTGAGCTAGAAGAGAAAATTCAATAGTTGTTTCTAAGTATAATCTAGTATAATATAATTGCGGAATTTAATAAAGAAAAAGCAAATATACTTATATACTTTTATAAATCAACTTTTATTTTATATTTAATTTACTTGAAACTGTAGAAAAGGTTAATGGAATATTTTGTCACTTATTTAAGCCAAAGTAAAAAGATTCGCGCGCAATTCTTCATCTCGCACTTGGCGCTTCACCATGCGCCGTAATAAATATTCCGCTGTTGCTGAATCGCAGTATACTAAAAAATATATTCTATAGCGTGCACAATCGTTCATGGTAACCGTACAACTCGACGGAAATAAATGCGTGCATATCCTGGTCGCCGCGGGGGACGAAAGGAGGAAATGGGATTCGCCGAATGTACAGCTGTATCGCGACGAAACTTTTCCACGACGATTTCATGAATATCTGGTCTTCGTTCTGGCTTCGAGCCGACTCTTTCCGTATTACTTTTTTTTAGCCATTATCGTACATCGCGCTCCACCGTATCCTATACAGTTTTATTACACGTAGCGTATAATTATCAGCCTCAGGTGATCTCTTGAAAAAGCACTATGAATTTCTTACGTGATCGATGCTGCAGCTTTCGTAAACTTATGAAAGATCGCTTCCAGTTTTATCTCAAGTAGCAAATTTTACGAAATCCGAATTTTTAAAAGATCGTAAATTTTCTTACGAGATGAGGAACATCCACTTCTCAGCTTGTAAAAAAAAAAACGCAATTTAGGATTTGTTCGCTTTCATCGATCGTCGCGCGAAAAGCATGTGAGATTTATACATTTGCATAAACCGCAAATTCCGTGACCGTTTGCGTACATGTGACAGCATACTGACGCGGGACCGTGTGATATTTTTACAAATTGCCAATCATCGATCGCGGCGAGGCAAATTGCTTCCAACGAGGCAGACGCGTAGGTCTGTCTCTGGCCTGTCCTATCTGCACTTCGAATGGAAATTGTTGTGGTCGATGCAGCAGCCGCGAAAAAGCCGATAGGAGCTAAAGCGAAGCTTCGTGCACACTGATAATTTACATGTGACAACTACATGTGACTTTTAATACGGGCGTACAGAAATCACGTGCAATTCTCTTTATTGTAAGTCTTTCATCAAAACTAATTTTTTTTTCTTAAGGACATTTGATTAAATTCAATAATTTTTTTTTAATCTTACTCTTGATCTTTATGCACTCTGTCTCCCCCTCTCCCACTTTATGGAATGAAAAAAGATACAACTCAGAATTATAAGCCATTTATGAGTCTTCGAATCCAGCAAATTAAAAATGTTGAACTTGTCACTGTAGATTGAAATTTGATTTTTTTAAATGTGAGGCCAGATGCACAAAGGTGCGCTATTTCGATAACAAAATTTTAAAATTAGTATGTATTTTCATATTCATTATTATTTTAAATTTAATAAGAACATACAGCTTAGCTTGATATACTTGCAAAAAATTAGATTATGATTGAGTTTACGTATTATATGAAATACATTCCTTCTTGTTAGACATGTGCGCGCAAAGAATTAAATTGGATCATCGAAAAACAATCGTCGTGGAATGTCACAGGTCTAATTACTTGTTTGATTTAGCGTATGATTGTTATCAGACACCCCTATGCGTTCTTTGGTGTACGAGAAGCGTCCGATAGACGATATTTTGCTGGGCGACCAGCATGACCGAGCGCGCTCCCATCGATGTTCCATTCTCTCGCCCTCTCGCTAACCTTTTGTCAAAAAGGTAAAATATGCGCTAGCGCCACCGACAACTAAATAACGGTGCAACGTGCATTCCTGATGCATCGTCAGCGGCGCATCGCAACTAGCACGCTCCCGCCAGCAAATTATTTATCGATCGATCTTGTTGTGCGGCCACTTTCGAGGCTTTCAAAAAATAATGGTCGGCAACCAACGGCCAGACTAAATGACTGTCAACAATTCCCGATGGCATGTCGATGGAAACGACGTTGTGTGTAGACAGCAGTTCCTATTGTACGCTGATTAATAACCGCGCGCGATCGAATATTCATAGAATTTTCGAGTCCATCATACGGTAGGATTCGAAAAGGAGCTTGGCCCGTTTACCGTTCAGCCGCGTACTACAATCCTGCGTCCGGCCATCGATCTGTAATACTACTTGAAAGAGCGCCGTTTTCCGTACTACTTGCTTTCTCATGAATCAACAACTGCAATTCCGGTTAGATGTAACAAATTACATGCTGGTCGAAAGAGCATAATCTCGTTAAAAGTCAAATCCAGATTTACTACGAGTAATGCTTGCATTAATAATCACCTCTCTCAAATAAATTACATCAGAAAATATATGTTACTCGAATAGCGTATCCATTCTTACAAACAGCGATGTGCGTTCCGTGTAAATTCTTCACTTACCGCACGTGCGTAAATTCTCAGCACAAAATTATAAAATTATTTGACGTTAAACATTGATGATCACAATCGTTAATCTTTTCGATACAAAATCTTTATCAAAAATTAAATTAATATTATAGAAGTTATATTTTCATTCAAATTGTAATCGATAAATCGATAAAATTAAAACCGAAGTTATATTTTCATTCAAATCGTAATCGATAAATCGATAAAATTAAAACCGTAGATACAAAAATAAAAATTTTTTAAATAACAAAAATTTTGATTATTACGTTCGTCGCTCTGTATTAAAATTTTTAAAATAAATGTGAATTTTTCAAAGTTGATTATCTCCTCGAAATTATTTTAGACTGTTAAAAGTTAACGATGATTATCCCCATTTGTCCGCAAAGGCACGCTCATACCCCCGCCGATTATTTTGCATTTATCTCGGGTTTACGTTCGTCGAAAGGAGCGACGCAGAAGGCGCCGGGCCGGATTGCAGATCGTCCCTCGGCGTTCTTGGCAGATGCCGAGACGAAATCGCGCATAAATCGCTAACGACGCACACTTTGTTACAAAAGCATGGGCCTGGTACTCTCGCCGGTCCGTTCTGCTACTGCCGCCAGCTTGATTTATCGTGCCAACGTGGACAATGCGAGAAATATTCTGGCGTGTTCGCTTCGTAAATCACGGTTCTTCGGCAGTCCATACACGGTACCCCCATAGAGAGGACGCACCTTCTCCCTCTCGCGAAATATCACGGGGCGGCCCACCCCGTTCTGGTAAATGTACGCGCGCGGGGGAGAATGGACGAACGGGAGGACATGCAGGAGATACACAGTCGAATCGGGATACGCAGCCGTAAATCACGCCGGAATCGCATTCGTGGATTCTGTGTTCTCAGCATCGCCCGCCGGAACACTGTATTAATTCTTTTTTCCCCGCGGTTATGACACGTGTATACCTTCGGGATTCTAAACGGAACAATGACGTTGTCGTGACGCCACATCTCTCTTGATCCATATTGCATCGGACAATGCATCGTCGATGCGAAGGGGGAGCAGTGATTTTACTGTCCGTGATATTATCGCGATAACTTCGTTATCGACGTCACGATTAATGTGTCACATTACTGCATCATTACGAGAAATGAAGATATAGTCTAGCGTCGTTTTATGTTTTAGACTGTCTTACCTGTTGTTCTTTTTTGAATGATCTTTTCCTCGATAAGCGCTCTCACACTGACGGATGCTGTCTGCAGAGGCGGTCCGACGACCTCTTTCTTCTCGCTTTTCTTGTTCTCCGCGTCCTGTAACACGCGATAAAAAAACGAAATCGTCGTTAAATCGAATCAAACAGGTTGTTAGTTAGCCGCGCGGTGAAAATCGAACATTAATAAGCATTTTAAATGGATAAATTTTCCATGTTTTCTCCATTCGAGAGATGGAGATCCTCAGCTAAATCTAGATTATTGTCAGCGAAAAAAAAAATCACATTCTATCATCGTAGAATATTTGGCATTTTGGATATTTTGTCAACAATCGCAGTCGACTATGGTAAATCTGGATCTTATTAGTCGCACGTGGCAGTTTCGCCTGGGCTCATCTCGTAGGACTCGTAGTTTAGAATCCTCGTTGAACCCGGCCACGAAGGACTCATGACGGGAGAACTCGGATTAGAAGCTCAAATCACGGGCAAATTGACGCGCAGGATACTAAGGGAGAGACGAAGGGAGAGTACAATGGTGAATAGGAGAAGGAGGTGTGCGGGAGGGGATGCACGCTAATCACTGAGCAAGGCTAATTGAGGCGTCCATTGGATTATATCGTAATGGAATCTCCGGCGTGTGCGATTCAACATCCTGTGATACACCTCGGCGCTAAGGAAGGTGCCCTGCCTTGTTTCTAGATACTTGCGAAGAATGATATTTAATTCAATTCCGAATTGCAAAAGTTCAATACAGCGCGTCGATAAATTTGCATTTTTTCTTTATTTAATCAAATATTAATTTAATATTCGAGTTACCAATGCATTGAAGATATCTTTATTTAGTAAAAAATGTATAAAATATTTTAGAGGAACTATGAAACATATTCTTCATCTTATTTTCAATTTTTTCTAATCTTGAGATTTTTATTTTTATATTTCTTGTATAAATTATTATTTTTTTATTGTATTGTATTTTCAATTTTATTTCGATACGCCATTCATTATTAATATTTCTATCTTTTCAATACTCTTAAAAAATTCTTAAACGTCCAATGCTTTTACATTATACTTCCAAGAAGAGATAATATAATTCTTTTTCTATCCAACGATATACAATATTTTCTATCCATCCCTATCCATTTGCAATATTGATCGACTGATTGGAAAAAAAGAAAAAAGAAAAAAAAAAGGAAAAACGTAATATTTTGACGACACAATAGCATTTCGCTATCGCGGACTTATCATCGTCGTATCGATTTATTATTACCCCGAAATAGTATCTTCGCAAAAAGTTCTCCCGTTTCACATCCCACAAGATAAGCCGTTCTTGGCCGCGAACTTAGCGTCGCCGCGAGCTACGGAGGCCCTACTTCCTAACTCACTAAGCACGGGAATTCCTTAAAGTCCGTGTAATTTTTTTCCCGGGGCACCCGCGCGCGTAAAAGTTATATTACTTAAAGTTTCCGCGCGCGAGTTATACGCGTCGTGTAAGTAAGAGGACCTCGCGACTATGTCCCCGCGATATGAGAGCCGGAGAAACTGCTACCACCACGTCAAGTATTTACCTCCGCCGACCTCCGCAAAGTTTCGGGCCACGTTTATAATTAGCATACTAATACTAACCGTCGGACGTCTCATACGCATACATCTTCCGCACCTGCATCCCGCCACCGGCCGCCGCCCTTAGTAGTCGGCGTAGACGATATATCAGTCCGGATACATACGTCATCATCATCATCATCATCATCATCTTCATCGGGCCTTAATGGGACGGGTGCACGGGGCGGCGGTCGTCATCGCGCGGCCCTCAATTTCCTATCTCCTACTTCGGATAGGTGTGTAACGCGGTGCACTTACGCACCCGTGGCCGCGTATATATCACGCCTCCCACGAAATTGAACTCTGTCTTTGACGGGACGTACACCGCTCCGCTCGCTTCATGAATATTGATCGGCGGCCGTTAATACGCGGAATTGATTGCGGAACGTCCGCCGTGCCGTGCCGCGCCACGCCGCGCCGATCCTGAACTCATCAATTCGATCTGTGTCGATTCCAGCTACCGGAATTATCTGGCGACCGCTATTGTCCCGTGATTAGACTCTTGTAAGTTCCTCGGTGACGCTTCTTTTTCTACGAATTATTTTTATGTGAGAGGAGAGTACAATTGCGGACAGAGATTTATTTAGTCTATCAGCGCTTCATCTTGATTTATCGATTTAATTTAATTCGGAATTATTTTTACATTCCCGTAAAACTGTCTCTCTATGCAGCTATGGAGAAAGATATATCTATCTACTTCGTGTTTTTTGTTGTCTTGATTGATCAATATATCTATCAGTATTCTATTTTACGATCGCGCGCAAATAATACGATTCAGAGGGAGAAGAAGCGCGTAGACTATGTTTTAGAACACGATTACAAAGAGGCGATTAATGAACGATGCTGCCGAGTCCTGTACGGCTATTTCCGATATTTCTTGTTCTTATCTTCGGGGCATCGATCAATCGACAAACTATGGCACGCGCGCTTACGTTTTCCAACAATTCCTACCTTCAGACGATCAATCGTGCTACACGTCAATCGTGCTACTTACAGAAAATAAATCTGAAACGCGTCGGCGCAGATTTATTGCTGACGATTTATCGCTCCGAAAAATCATTCGTCACGCGACAGTGCAATGTAATGAAAAAAACGGCAATTGTGTGCGGCGCGGCTCGTCGGCGAGCCGCGAGTGCGGCATACACGCGGGCGCGATTCTTCCGAAAATACAACGAATTACACGCCGTAATTCGTTCTAAAAGCCCGCAACTACATGTCTATCCGCGTGCTCGCGGGTCCCTGGAAAGAGGGGGGCGCATCCCCGCACGCGGAGATTAACAGTAACTGCCACTTAACGAACCTGAACGCGGTCACTAACTCCTCTCACTGTGGACGCGCGCCCCAAACAACAACCAGCGCGCGGTTTCACGATGAACGAGACTCTGCTTATAACTCGATGAATTTTCCCGTTTCATTCCCCTCAACCCCGCCGCGTGCATTAATCTGGCTATGTATATATCCACGAATTCGAAGGGGCCATCGAAACTTTTCAATAATTCCGTGCGGCCGGGCAAAAAGCTCGGGTCGCGGGAAGTTGGGCTGACTGCCGGATGGAGGCTTTCGCGGCGTACCCGCTGGTCTCTCGCTGGTCGAACACGAACACGAATACGCGTAGAAAGGAGAGGAGACGAGGAGAGTTCGAGAGAGGGTGGACGCGTAGGGCGGAGGCGTATCGCGGTGAAAACTCGGGTGCTCGAAACGAGAGCAGCGCCGTTGAAAACCCCGGCCGTAACCAGTCAGATTCAATCTGCATAATGGAGAAAGCTCGAGACAATGTTTGCACGGGGCTCTCCGCGCGTGCTACGTTTTCCTCCCGTTTCTCTCTCTCTCTCTC